CGAAAAATATTTAAATTCGGAGAAAATTCTTCGTTCCAGCCCAAAACGAACTAAAATCAATTAAAAGAAAAAATCGCGAGGAGCTGATTCATTCATCTATGCAATCGAAATTTTGTGAATTGGGTCGGTCAAATTATTCATTTAATGTTAATTTTTCCCTGCTCGGATCCCCAAAGTGATAAAAATTGCTTAAATAGGAAAAATCCTTAGAAAAATTTTAGAATTGAAATTTAATATTCATAACCGCCAAAATCGATTATCCTCGAGCTGCCCAAAAGAAAAAAAAAGGAGGAAAAATCTTTCAAGAGGTTTCAGGCTCTAGAGCCCAAGCACTAAAAATCGGATTGCAAATCGCCTCCAAAAAACGCGGTTGATTCCGAAAAAATTCAAAAAAAGATTATATAAATATCTTAATATCTTCCGAGAATCAAAAAAAATATAAAAGCGATTTTCTTTACCTTATCCAAATTATTTTCAGAAGATTGAATATTTTCCTTTCATAATTGGTAAAAAATTATTCCAAAAATAATAAATAGATTCCGAATCGAATTTATTTAAATTCGTTGTCTAAGAATGCTATTCGAAAAAAGAATGTAAATTGAAAATTCTTTTTCTTCGATAGAGAAACTCAAAATCTAGATCAAAATATCCGAGATTTAAGAAATAATTTCTTTAGAAGAAAACAGATCTATGAGCTGGTCGGGACGTCCGCTACGATGGCGAATCATTATAACTATTTTATCTTACTATGAAATATATAATAAAAAAATAAAATCTAATACGGAAAATAATAAGCCAAAATATATTATAGAATTTCGAAAAACCATAAATATCAATAAAAGATCTATCATATAAAAATATTTATATAAAATCCGAGCAAGAGAAAAAACAAGAATATCTAAATAAGAAAGTTCGAAGAATTTTTTTAATCAATATTATTAGAAGATTTTGAAAAAAAAAGAGAAGATATATATATAATTAAATAAGAAATTAAAAAATAGTATCCCAAATATCCGATATAATCACAAATCATTTTGATGAACTATCATCAAATAAATTTCTAAAAATATTTCAGAATCTTATATATATATATATTTTTATTTTCTTAGATATTATATATATAAAATATATATAATTAATAAATAGAAAATAATATAATATACGAATAGATAGATTCATATATTTCAAGATTCAAATCATCAAATTAAAAAAGATTTACGTTAAAATCTTTCATTATTTCAAGAAATAATATAGCCTTTCTCTCCTTCCTATCCAAATAATTTTATAATCCAATATGAATTCATAACTGAATCGATGAATAGAAGAAGCAAGATATCGCATATAAACATAGAAATATATATATATATACATATATATATATTTTTTTTCTTAATTTGAGTACCTTTTAGATCGCGCAATTCTAGATATTTATAGCGGCAAATATTATGACTAATTCAAAATCGATAGAAATATTTGATTCATTCGCCCACACAAGGCTGGCAAGAGGCCAGAGCCCGGAAAGAGTCCAGAAGCTTCGAAAAGGCCAAGCTTTTTTGGGCTTCCCAGCCTTTTCTGGGCCTTCGAAGCTTCTGGACTCTTCCCGGCCTCTCTGGGGCCTCTTCGGGCCTCTTCTGGGCCTCGAATAGAATCCGCCAATTATCAGCAGACCATATCTTATCTGAAATTAATCATAATAAGAAATCCGATAGATAATCAATTTATAAAATCGCGCACGAGTCTCATGAAGATGCAATATAAGAACGCATATGCTAAAATCGATGCATCCTTTCAATTCTGAAGAATTTTAGATTTCCGCGCAGCTTTCCAGGTTCCCCGAGCCGCCGCGCAAATAACCAAAGACGAAGAATTACTTTGAAATCTCGGAAGATTTTTGGAGGCGCGACCTCTTCGCATCCGGTCCAAACTTTTGCTTATCTTTCTTGGATTCTTTACGCGGCAACTCGGGGGAAGTAAGTCATAAATCCCCGTAGACATATACGACCAACTCATAATTTCTGAAAAATTTTAATTCTCTAGCCCGGCCGGGTCTATACGCTCCACAAAATAGAGTCGTATAGAGAAGATAAATCGAAAGATACTACTTCTCCGACCTAGATTATTTTCTTATATTCCGCCAAGCCGCGGACAATCAAAACCCTTGCGTCCAGTCCTACTTTCCATTTCATTTAAAATTGAAAAGAATATAACTAATCAAGAATTTCTCGAATATTGAGTAATGTCCCGACGGCAAAATCAGTATTTTTAGGTTCTCTCGTTTTCCGAACGATCCTAAAATCAAAATAATAGAGAAGAATGATATCTGAATCGAGAGAATAAAAACCCCATCATATTCATATGAAGAATGATATTTTTATAGTATACAACATTTAATCAAAAAAACAAAAAATTCTTTTTAATATCCTTTTCGAAAATTAAAAGGCGAGAGAAGCCCTCATATATACTTTAATCTAAATCTATATGAAATAGTATTGGAATTTTATCGTCTTCCGAAATCAAAAAAAGACAAATCAACAGTCGGAGATAGAATTCTCTCAAAATCTTAAGCGGTCGCCCCTACGATTTAAGATTTATAGATTTAATATTCTGAAAAAAATTGAAATACAATCTTTACGACTTAGAGAAATGATATTCTGAAAAATCTTAGAGAGATATAGCCTGTGCTTTGAGATTTGGGGAGATGATGCTCTAGGGGATATTCCTTATAATTTGAGATTTAGAGATTTAATTCTCTGAAAAAAATTGCGATTTGAGATTTGGGGACTTAATTCTGCGATTTTTAGAAATGATACACTGAAAAATCTTAGGGGGTCACGCCTTGCGATTTGAGGACTTGATTCTCTGAACAATCTTGTAGAAAACGTCTCTTGCGATTTCAGATATAGAGAGATGATGCTACGCAAAATCTTAAGGAGACACCTCTTATAATTTGGAGAGTTAATATTTTTGGGCGAGAAATACTAGAAGTTTCAGAAAACTACGATTTCTGACCCGTCAAATTCGCCTATTATTTTCTGAAACATCTCCTTAACGAAAATTTTAGAAGCGCTGCCTTATCCTAGTATGCAGACAGACAAGAGGCGATTCCACAACACCAAATTTTCTCAAATGCTTTTTCCTTTGTTTTAGAGATCATGATACTCCCACGCTAGCCCCTTAAGCTATCCAAATAAAAGACAAAACAGGTCATTCGATTTCAGCAAAATTTTCTGAAGCATCTTTTTTGCCGACAATTTGGTATCGAACAGCTGCTGCCTTATCCCGATAGCACCAGATTTTATCAAAACGCTTTTTCCTTCATTTTCGATATCATGATACGTTTATAGTAGCCCTTATACTACTCAAATAAAAGACAAGGAGTGGCGGTTCGATAGATCCAAACCTGACGTATCTCCTTGTCGAAATTTTGGTGTTATACGACGGCTAGTTTATCCTAGCATAGAGACAGATAAGGGGCGGTTCAATAGCGCCAGATCTTCTCAACCGTTTTTTCCTTTTTTTTTTTCAAGGCGGTTCGATAGAATCATTTTTCAGCAAACTATCCGTTGTTAAAATCTGGTGGGATCCGACCGCCGGCTTTTGTGATTTTCTCTGTTTTTCTGAAGCTGACGGTCAGATGATATCAATTTTGGCAAGCTGAAATGGGGCGCAATCCTTGTTAAAATGCGGTGCGATCCGACCGAAGACTTTCGTGAATTTCCTTGCTTTTGGAAAACTGGCGGTCGGATCGCACCGCATTTTGACAAGTCCAAATATGGTACGATCCGTTCGCTCCTTTCATCTCTCTTATATTTTGGGCAAATGCCGGTCGGATGGGACCATTCTTCAGCAAACGATCCATTGTCAAATTGCGGGCGATCCGACTGCCGGTTTTCGTAACTATCCGAACTTTTTTGAAGCTGGCGATCGGATCGCGCCGCATTATGACAAATCGAAATCTACCGCTTTCATTTCTTTTCGTTTTTGGGAAGGCGGCGGTTGGATCGCACCCCTTTTTAGCAAACGACCTATTTTCAACATGTGGTGCGATCCGTCCGCCGGCTTTTCTGATTTCCCCTGCCTTTCCAAAGTCGGCAGTTGGATCGTACATGTGTGTACGTATGTGTGTGTATGTATGTACGTACGTATGTATATATATATATATGTATGTATATGATATGAATGAAAAATCGACCGAATTTCGAGGATGCTCCCCGCATAGGAGCGCGATTTTTGAATGAACAATCAACAAAATTTTCAGAATGCTCCGCACGGCAGCGTGATTTTCTTCGCAAGATGCTCCGCACAAGAGCGCGGTTTTTCATGAATAACGAAATTTCGAGGATGCTCCGCGCGGGAGCGCAACTTTATTGAAAGATTTCAGGATGCTCCGTACGGAATGCGATTTTATTCAAAATTTTCAGGATGCTTTGCGCGAGGGTGCGATTTTCTTCAGAATTTTTCAGATGCCCCGCACGAGAGCGCGATTTTGAACGACGAACTCGACGAAAGCTATGCTGACTGAATATCGGGGTACTCCCCTCAAGACCGCGATATTGAACGAAGAAAACGACCTTGAACGGAATCCCCAATAATCAATCAGTATAGCTTCCGTCGACTTAATCCCTCAATTTTTGATGTACTTGAAATTCCTAATATTTCATGAGTAGGCCAGTGGTGTTGCAAATGCGTTTACGGTTCAGGTATGGGTTCATGCAGGGTTTTGTCCATCAATGGTGCCATAAGCAACCGTTTAACAAACCATTCCCAAAACACCACAAAGAATTGTTTCTTTTGGATTCTCGTATTTATCCCTCGGGTTCGAAGGTTCGTATGTCGCTTAAACCCCCTGCTGCTTCTCCCATGAGGTGTCGCTTAGGTCACTTCTCCCAGGATGCAGGGAAACCAAAGAAATGGGGAAAGGGGTCATGAAGTGACTCTGATTGAGCCCCTGACCTAACCCCTGGCCTTGTAAAGCATTAGCAAAAAAACATGGCTGGCTTTCACTTCTTGATGGGATTCTTGGGGCCTGCGTTCTTGAAGCCCTCAACCCAGTTGATGGCCCAGAAGTCATGGGCAAGAGCGGGGTGGCAAATGTACTCGTAGGGCATGTAGAAGTAGCCCTTGTCACCCCACCTGGGAAATTTGGGATGCAACAAATCCATCAAACAATAGTGTATACCGCAGTAACGGGGCAAGAAGCTCTGAATCTGTGAGCCCAAAAAAGTCCTTGTAATGCCAAGTCACCCTTCGCCCCATGAATTTCGAATGATGAAGCACTGCTTGAAGTCATCGTACCCTACGGCACATACGGCATGGCCGCCCAGCTGCTGGTCAGTAGGCTGGGGCATCACCATCTTACCGGTCCTGGCAACCTCCGCTGTCTGGAAGCTTGACAGAACGGCAAATCCGAACACAAAGGGGTAACCATTCTTGATGCACATCTTGAACTGGCTTAGGTCCTGTGCAACGCGGGCATAACCCACGACTTTGCACTTCTGTGCCAGCTCATAAGACTTCGAATCCGGCTGTTTTTTGAAGAAATCGTGCTGGTCATCATATTTCCACACGCTCTCCGGGCACACGCCCACTTTGGACATCACTTTGATGCCGTCCCGGAGCATTGCCCCAGCATCCTGGTTCACGCTGCCCTCCACTAGGCGCTCGTTGTAGTAGATGAAGAGGCGGCTAGGTGTGAAGTCTGCAAAGTCCTTGTGGTTCTCCACCGTCATCTTGTGCAGGGTGAAGTGGAAAGCGGCTGCCAAAGCGTTTGCTGTGCAGCTGCCCAAGTGTCCCTGGTCGAAAATGGGGAAACCACCGTTCTCTGGGCGCAGGTCAATGATCTCCTTCTGCCCTGAGGGCTCACATGGCGAAAGTCAGGAAAAATTGTGAACAACTGAATAGCAGAAGTCCTTAAACTATCTGTTACCTCCAGACTCACCCCCAATGGAAAATGAAAGGCTTCCGAAGCCTTAAGAAATCGTGCATGGAGCACTCAAAGCGCACCTTCAATGGAAATTTAACCCAGAATCCCGAAGGAAAGGATTTTTATGATAGCCCTTAATCCACCAGCATGCACTAATCATCATTTTCCCTTCCATTCTTGCACTCCCTCCCTTACTAACTCTACATGCAACACCCGAACCAGCAGCAAATAATGAATCGATGACTTGTGGCCCTCTGCTTTCCTCTTGATCTGGCTCGGCGCGCTCACCTTCCGCGTTGCTGCTTAGGGCTTTAAAGCTTTCAAGACTTTAGGATTTAGAGTCTCGGGGGAATCAATGTAAAACTCCTCTTGAAAAATACGGTATTTCGCATTTTTCTTCGAACCAGTAGAACCCTGCAAAAAGGCTTGAAATCCTCAAATGAATCTAGCCTTGTCGAATGTCACGTGGTGGTCGCGATGGTCTGGCATGTCGGGTTTCCATCCGAACCTCATCAACGTTCTTGCGCTCTCTACACAAACTGGGGACCTTACCCAAACCCTAAAGGGCTCGAGAATTGGATGCCTAACATTTTAGGACCAACAACACAAGGGGGGAAGTTTTCAATGGGGGGGTTTATGTAAGGGGTATATAGGGGCCATCGGGAGCTATATAAGGGGGTATATAAGGCTTATGTAAGGTCCCACATGGTGACTCCCCTGGTGATAATTTTCCTTAGAATATTAACCCGGCATGTTCTTATGGGCTTATACAAGGGATCTAGCTATTATCTGGGCAGTGATTTACGGGAAACCTGAGGGTTTTGCGTAAAAGGGTTTGTGACGATACATGTTGTGAACTTGAACCTTTTTGGGCAATCTCATCATTAATTGCCATATCACACCAGGGACCCCTAAGGGTTTAAGATTTTGATGATCTCGCATATGCGACAAAAACCTGTAGTAGCTTCCTTTTTCTTTTCCACCCCCCCTCCCCACCCCATAGCCTCTATATAAATCCTGATCAAACCTGGCCCAGGAGCTTCACGTTCGTGCGCAATGGCAGGGACAAAAGGCTGGGGTGCCTCTGGGAACCTTCCACCTTTGTGCTGACTGGTTGCTTTTGTTTTTGTTATGGATTTTACGATTATTGTATGACTCAGGATTTATGTGCGGGGGAAAGCTTGTGAAAGACAGTGTATTCTGGCTGTTGGGCTTATGGTGTAGAATTTAGCTTCGGGCACGTCTCACACAAATTCGCTGCGTATCCCAAGTCCATGCTACACCCTGCACCCTAAATCCTGACCCCTCAATCCATATGTTCAGTACCCAAAACCTGGAGCTCAGCACTCTCGGCATTGATGTTGCTGCTGTTGCAGTTGCCCATGTTGGCCCAAGCGCGACGGGGGAGGAGGAGCGTTGCAGAGATGCTCTGCCGGAGAAGAGCCACACACGGCAACGTTTAGGAGTTCGCAATACTTAACGGTTGGAGGGGTCTAGAGATGTGTAGAGGTGCAGGGGTTTACCGCCTTATGTTGTTCTTGAGGAGATGTGGTAGGTAGCCTGGAGGGGTTTTAGGGTCTGGGTTTAGGATCAGAGAAAGCAAAAGCCAATGTGGAGAAGGATCCCACTGCAATGTCTCATGCAAACCGGGCCCCGCACTCTCACCTGCAGTGCATGGTTGTTTCCCAAACTCAGGCAACCCTGCCTCCCTAGTCCAATTGCCTGGATTACCATGAGCATGTACCATCATAGCCAGTTTTCGTTCACTCCCGTCTTTCGTGTCCAAACCGAACATCCCCACAAAACCATGCTTCACGGCCCTGACAACAAGTATCACCCTGCAATTGATGCGTCTTCATTGTGCCGTAAAAACGAGGTGAATGGAATCTAGAATGGCGGGGCGGTGCGTATGCTCCTTGCAATAATGTGGCTCAGAGACACCATTGTTCATGCTTGGCAGAAAGACCCTCCAAAGGGAGTGCACTGTTCGTTGGGGTTACAAGCAAGGGTTCCCCTTTCATGTAACCCAAACCCTGTTGTCTTGCCTCCCAAAAAAAATCAGCTCCGTGGACTTGCCATGAATCCATATCTTTGATCCTTAGACCCGTAACCCTGCTTCGGGGACCAGGCCGTAAGGCCTCAGTTTCTTCCGCGCTCAGCTGCATACAAGCACTCAAGCCGGCTGCTAGCTGAAATAAGAACTCACTGCTCCAAGGGGACGTCCCCTGAACTTTACGTAAGCTCACGGTTTCGGGCTTAGGGTGTAGGGCATTGAAATGCGGTTACCTTCAACCCCGATATGCAACGTCTAAGCCTAAACTCCCAAGCCCTAAACGTTTGTGTACATATAAACTCCAGATCCCACCCTGATGCATTCTTCGATCTATGCAGACATGAAATGAACCGTACAAATGGATAGCTAAAACCTTACCCTAAGCCTGCAAGCGCGAAAACACCAATCTGAATTTCACACACATGCAATCCACAGTAGTGATGATAATGACAACAAAGGACATAGGCAACTCTCCGGGTAACATGTGAGTGCTTTCCGACCTATGAAAACAGGTGTAAATATAAATATACAAATATATACACACACACACGTACTTCTTCAACCTGAAACCCTAAGCCGCGTTGCGCAGCTGAGGCTGGAGAGGTAAAGAATTTAAGGTCAGCAGAGGCAGTTGGCTTGGGTTTAAAGGTTTAGGGTTTCGGATTGGGGGCCACGTGTGGTGCACATCAGGTTTCGGAGGACTGTGGGTTCAGTCGTTCGGGCTTTTTCTGGATATCATGGGCTACAATTTCTTTACGACCTTGACTTGTCAAGTCTAGAGCAAGGCTGTTAAGAAGCTAAAGGGTTAAACCTAAAACCCTAAGCCTCAATCTGTAAACCCAGAATCTGTAAATAATGACTTGCTGGAGGTTTAAGATTGAAGGCTCAGGGCTAAGGCTGTAGGATTTTGGGTATCAGGCTAGGGATTAAGAATCTGGATTTCCGAATACGGAAAGAAGTACGATGCTTTTGGCCCTATTTTGTGCTTAGAGAGCATCCAGGCAAAACTGCCATCTAGCAAATGGAGATATGCTCAACATTTTGGAGTAGGATGTTTCCTAACTCGTAACACAGGCAAACTAAAATGCCACTGAAAAACGGCTGATCTTCCTTTTCTTTGATTTTTATTGGGAGACCGTTATGAATTAACACTCTACATGCCTTGTTGGGTTTCAGTCTAAAAGAATGGGTGTCATATCCAACCATGTCCCTGTAAACTCCTAGAACCTACCTACACTTCCTACATACCGATAAGAAGTAATGGAAACCAAAACCAGGATCAGAGAAAAAACACGAAAAATAATAGCATCTAATCTATTCCCATAATTTGGGAACATGGCCAATGGCGATGGGTATTTGGGAGGTCTAGAAGCTACACCCTAAACCTTTCAGCTGTCCACTCAGGAGCTCGGGTCAGAAGACGTCGCACAGCTCTGTTTGGGGCCAGCGGACTGTAGGCCCTCAGCCTGCGACAGCCGTCTGCCTCGGCTGAGCTGTGTATCATTTGGGGGTCTCCCAAAACTAGGGGTACCCTTTTAGGGATCCCCATGATAAGGATTATGGTATTTGGGGGTTTATATTGGGGTCCCCCTATTTTGGGAAACTGCCATTTACAAAATCTTTTACCACTTAGGGTCATTTAAATATGATTTTTCTGGGGCTGTAAAGAGTTAGGGTGGTGAAAGATCTCTTCCATTAACAGTATGCATGTTTCTGGGTTTAAGGCTCAGGAGCTAGGTCTTGGAATGTAAGGTTTTAACAACCCTAGACTTCAATAAGTTTCGGGGTGCAGGGCGACTAAGGATCCAAACCGAAAAAAATAGCAAAACTTGAGCAAATGTTTAGCTTTTTACAAGAGACACATCAAGCCGAACATAGAAACGAGCTGGACCCCCAAAATCAGACGTTAATGTTGGTTGAGGGGTATAGGTTTTTTTTTGCCCTGGAGGCGCG